AGTCCTTCGTCAAATCTTCAAATATGTTCAGGCAGTATGCGAAATTATCGCTGACAGTTTCTTCTTCCAATCTCCTGTTCATCAGTTTTCTTTGGAAGATAATGTCCACAGCCTCCATGATCTTCCGTTTCCTGGTTTCTTCCCCATGAGGCCAGTCTTTCCGTTGCATTACACTTATTAGTGTGACCGGTAATGGCGATGTGTTCGGCTATTTCCGAACTTTTCGTATTCATTACTGTATAAAGCCAAGATATATGTGTTGTCGTGATATAATAGAACCAAAAATTATGCTTGGTGAATTAGTTTAATATCAAAAATTGAAAAAACTTTTACTATACCTTTTACAGATTAGCCAGTAAATAACCAACTAGATACAAGCTTCAAGTCATATCCTGAACAGAATTTTCAATATCTAAGCTTAAATTACAGTTAGCCTTCACCAATATGGTCCGTTTGCTGAGTTAGGCTTAATTCCTTAACCTGAGTAAAGGAGTAAGAGGTGAACATTAAAGATTGGAAGAAACATCATTCGAATGATCATGAAGCAAGTATTTGCCTTTAGCCTGGATGGAATGGATGCGAAGAGTAGGAAAATAGAGTATGAACAAACAATGGGAAGAGGCGAGAGTTGAATGTTGGCAGTCTCAGTCCTCAGGCAAAAGCAAAGGAGAGAAACATAAAAATATAACATGAAAATCCGAGTCTCCTGAGAAAACAAAAAAATCTGCTTAGCAAGTAAACAGTTTTCGTATGAAAGAACAGGTAAACGGCATAACATATGCAAACGGGAGGAGAGGCAGGCTAGCAAAATCTAGGCATTGTTAGAAGAGGTAACAAATCCAAGATTGTGAATGTGCTATTGTCTTTAAGGCAGCAAGAAGGCAAAATAAGTCTTGACCCCAACCTGAGCGGGGCTATAATGTGAATGGAAAGACGAATACGGTTTTAGAAAATCGCAATTGCAATGTTGACGATAATAAGCATGAGACATTAAAAAAGGCACTGTGCATACGACAGATGAAATCCTCCTTAACCGGAGGTGGAATCGGCTGGCAACTTAGTTGAAAATAGAGCAGCATTAAGATGCCAATGAGGTAAAAGACAACATTAAAAACACCGATCAAACACCAAAGCTATTGTTCATCGATAGTCGCGATTCATCTAGTATCGGCTTCGGGGTCGACATCTCCAGGCACCAGAGATACCAGAGGTACCAAAAACAAGGGTATATAAAGAAGTAGTGCAAAATAGTGACCATTTTCCGACATCATGACTGGCCCTGCAATGTTGAGTATGCAAGAAATGTCACAAAATTACAAATATGGAGTTTGAAGTAGTGAGGCCAACGAATACATAGAGGAATTTGTAATCAAAGAAGGCTATAGTCAAATCAGTAAACATATTTCTTCAATAGTATGCTTGCTAATAAAATAATTGATACAACAGCGATAGTCACAAAATTAGGATCAAGATGGAATGAAAATGAGGAGAAAAGGAGAATACCTATTCGGAGCAGGGAATTATTTGGAGAAAATTAATTAATGTCTAGAATGAACAAGGCAGAAAGGCAAAAAAGAAATATATAGTGGTGGAAGAATATGGTGAATGAAGGTGAAAGTTGGTATAAGCGGACTGATGAAATGGAAATGAAAAAGGGGATCGCTAAAGCAAAACAACGAAACTACAATTAGTGGAGTTGAGGAGGTGAAAGTGAGGCACTAGTCGTGAGGCTTTCTGGAGGTCCGACCAGTGGACGCCAGAGAAGGACGGGGTATCTGAATGGAATCTGGCGATTCGACCAGTCGAGAAGAAGTGATTCTTGTCTCATGGCTCGACGGGAGGCCCATCTCTACGTCATGCAAGAGCGGCCGGGAGCCAAAGTTTATTAGCAAGCTCGAGGCGGCCCGAGGATAGTCTAGGAAGTGAAACTGGAAAGGGCAGGTGAACAAATCGGGTTTATGCGGTGGTGAGCAAGGAATAGGAAGCAAATTAAAATCGAGGACCACAAAAGATTTAGTGAAGAAGTGATGATGCCATTCAGTGGGGACGAAAAGTGCAGGTCAGAGAGAATACAAATGGAAAAGACCGAAATGAGGAGTAAAGTGGTACCTTCCGCCTAAACATACATACATACATACATACATACATACATACATACATACATACATACATACATACATACATACATACTAGATACATACAAACAAACAAACAAACACACACATATACATACATACATACATACATACATACACACATACATACATACAAATAAACAAACACACAAACACACATATATATACATACATACATACATACACACGTGCATACATAGATACATACATACAAACAAACACACATATATATACATACATCATACATACATACATACAAACAAACAAACAAACACACACACACACACATACATACATACATACATACATGCATACATACATACATACATACATCTATATAGTAAGGCTATGAACCCGATATATTTGGTAAATCTCAGTATTAAGAAGGCGATATACTCCATACATCTTTTCCAGACCTATACTGCAGCCTTGATTTGGAGTAAGGACAAGCGGATTGAGAAGAAAACCTATTTCCTGCTTGATGAGTTATATGGAAGCCTTACACTTTAATAGAGATGGTAAAGCCAAAATGGGGCAGATCTACAACAATCAGGATCTTGATAATGGCGACCAAATAAGCGATGAGCTGTCGCCAAGGGGCGATCTTTGTGTGCCTATTGGGAGAAGTGCAAGCGCCAGGGGGTGCTTCTCGGGTCAGAATCACAACCGCCATCACACTTTATCCTCGTCGACTTTCTCCCTGTTAGCCTAACAAGGTGAGGCTGTGTTGTGTGTGATAGTCAAGAGAATCGTATATGATGCCTTACAGGTCCTCAACCCGCCGAGAGTGATAATATATGATAGCAGAAAAGGAGATAAGCACTTCCCTTGTCAGGAAATGTCGGACAAAAAGAGACGATTAAGGCAATTTTCTTCGTTTATAAGCAGATGATCGCAGATATGAAATGTGTTCACACTATTTCATTTAAGTTGGTGAAGGACTGATAATTGAATTTTGCCCCAATCAGATGAGTACACCTTACGTTTCCAGTGAATTTCGCTATGCATACTTTTCCTAAAGGTATTCTTCCTCCGGCTGGAGTGGATAGCAGTTCCGACCTCGCCCGAACTGGTCTCATCACCACACCCAGCGGGACTCAAACCAGGATACTGTGGCATACCATCTGGAAACGTTAACTACTACGCCACACATTGCCACGAGTACTCTTTGGTCTCAGAGCAGATGTGAATTTCAAGGAAGGCGAGAGATTTTCTCATATCACTTTGTGCGATGGAAGTGACAACGAAGCAAAGTGATATTTGCTTCTGGTCTCGTAATCTTTGCTATGGCAATAGAATAAATCACTAATTTTCGTTTGTAGGTAGGTTTTTGAGACTACCAGTAAATCAGGTATATGAGATGTGAGATGAGAAAGCTATACGAAATTCAATGAAAAGGTAAGGCTTACTAATCTGAATGTGGGAAAATTCAACAACCATTCCTTTACCGCCTTAAATGAAATCGCTAAAAGTAGTTGATTGGATTTTAGGCTATACCGAGCCTGAAACAGTACCAATGCATAGCGCAACGTAGCGCGCTACCTCGGCACAACATCACCGCCCTTCTGTAGC